CATGATGGTCCAGGTGTCTTACCTTCCTTTTGGTCGTTTTCAGGCTGCTTCTGAACTGGCGTCGGATCTGCGCTTGTTTTTTTTTCTACTGATACTTCGGGCGGTACCTGCCCGCCTGTTCCTCCTGGGGCCGGTCGTTGCTTTGGTGCCGCTGGTACCTTAGGTGTTGAAGCTTCTGGTTTCTGGCCTACAAGACCAACGGAAGAAAGATGGATGAAAAGATTATAAAAAAAAACAAGGACACACGTGGTACAGAAAGACAGGACGGCACGCTGTGGTGTGGTACGGTCGGGTCGACTCGGTGGACTGCGCACTCGGTGAACTTGGGCTAGATGGTAGCAGTACACGTATTTGTTGTCGCCGTCATCTCGGCCCTCGTCGTCTCTGCACGGTACGCTCATCTACACTCGTCTACACTCACGTCGCCGCGACCGCTACAGTCGTGGCTGTTGTGCTGTTCCGCCGTGCATAGTTCCCGCGTGCGTGTTGTTGTGGTATCGTTTGCGTGTGCGTGGTTGTTGGCGCCGGCATCCATATGCGGCAGTACGGATTCGTATTGGTACTAGCCCTATACGTACCGTCCGCAATTGCCGTTTTCGCGGTCTCAATTATCTCCGTTGCTGTGTTCATTATGTCATCCTTTGCTTCCTGCACTTTCTGAATTATCTTTATTACTGCTCCTGCCAGCTCCTTCTGTTTTACCTCTATCTTCTGCTGCCCTTCCGTGCTCACACTGTCTTTGATAGTGTTCCCCTCTGTTCCCTGCTCCTTAATATACTGTTCCCACTTCATATCACACGGCATTGCCTGTTCCATTGCTGTTATTTCTTCATTTATGTTTCCGTCCCCCAATAACCATTGTGCTATCGCCAAATTTATGGCTGTTATATGCCTGTGATAGCCCGTATACCCACATGGTGTACACTTGCCTTCAATAACAGGACCGTTAATTTCGCCAAATCCATGTTGTCCCTCGCTGTTCATATCCCTGAATGTTTGCCAAGCATACTCTATACCTCTCTTGTAGCCTCTCTTATCCTTACAATACCTTTCTTTCAGTAGATGTCCAAATACATGGGCCACGTCACATCTTAACCTATTGGTCTCTTCATCATCCTGCTGACTCTGCTTAGTACTGCGATCTGTCGTCTTCCACGAACCATTTGCAAACCACAACGCACCGGACATTAGTCTGCATCTCATCATATCCGCCACCGTTTGGCCCGTATGGTGTGCAGTGTGTGTCAGATCATTCCAACCTGTGTTATCACAATTGGCACCAAGTGCGTCAAAGTTATCATTATGTTCCTCCAAGTACTCCATAAACTCCTCCAACACGTTCTTCACCGGTTCCCATTCCTTATCCTGCATTTTGCACATGCAAATAAAAGAATATGCATGTCCACATGCCACGTGCACCATGGCCCGTGGTAGCATCTATACCTACACATATGCATGTCGCCGTATGAATAAATTATCGGTGCCGTCTGTTCCTCTTTCGTCCTCTTCCTTTCTGACTGTACTCAAACTTACACTATAACCATGCTCCACGTAGATTGTCCTAGGCCTCCAATCTAATATTTTCTCCCCTTGACACTTCTCCTGTGTTTCGTGCTTCTTCCCCTTCCCCTTCTCTCCTACGGCACCACCAGCATCACCACCACGTCGTGCCATGCGCCTGGACCGCGTTTTCGTTACCGTCTTCTTCTTCGCTGGTCTCGCCGCTACTGGTGTGGCAGACCGTCCGTTTCCGTCCTTGCCGTCGTTGCCGTCTCCGTCACCGCGTTCTCCGTCAACGCCGCTCGCGTCAACGCCTCTGGCGTCAACGCCGTCTCCGTCACCCCGTGCTGCGTCAACGCACCTCCCTCAACGCCTCTCCGTCAGCGCCTCTCCCGTCAACGCCTCTCCGACACCGCCCCTGCGTCAACGCCGTCTCCGTCAACGCCTCTCTCCTTCCACGCCTCTTCCGTCAACGCTTCTCTCCGTCAACGCTTCTGGAAGTCGTGATAAATGCACAACAACTACTTATTTTCTTCCCCCTTCCGCCGTCTTCGTACACGGGATTGTCTCCGAGTACGGGAGTTCGAGGGACGGATTCGCGTGAGGGAGAAGAGAGCGGGGGGCGGAGATAAAGGAACACACATATTTTGTGGGAAGGCGAAAGACGCAAGGAAGGCGGCAGAAGAATTGATGTTGTTGTCGCTACTGCGGTTTTTAGGTGTACGCACACAGAGACAGTGTGTGAAGGCGTTTAGTGGACAACGGGCGGCGGAGGGGGTGTATTCATGACGCGTTGTGTGTGTACGGTAGTGTAGTAGTAGTTTTTTTGTTTCATTTTTCTCTTCATTTTTGTACTCCTTTTTTATTCTGTGCATATTATTCTCTCCTAAACAATATCAGCATGGTATACACAGGTTGTGGACCGTGCAATTCTGTATTGTGCATTTGCATTATATAAATTATATGTGTGCACGGCTTCCCCCCATTTATAGAGTAATAAGCATATTCATGAGGCACAAGTGTGCATAGCATGCGGGTGCAATATTAATAATGTGCATAATATTCTCAGGGAGCATTCATGTCCTGTATTATGTGACGTAGGGCACCATGGCAGGGCACTTAGTAAATGTAATGGCCGAATGGGCCATAAGGCGGGCACTATGGACACAGGCACAGGTTGATGTAAGTGTTCACTCAGAACAAGGGATTGCACGCCACAACTACGACGGGTGGCGGCAACTAGTGTTCGTACATATATGTGCCGTAACACATACGGACAGGGAGCTACAGTCCTATAGAGTTGATATATTGTTATACATTAATCATTTTCTCTATGTATATATTTCGTAGCGTGCATTATGGGCAGATATGGAAACTGTATTACACGCTTTTGTGGACCACATGGACCGGATAGAGCCCCGCTTAGATATGTATGCCACAAGCTGCGGGGATGCAGGTTGGGGACGTAGAGGAGCCCCGCATCAGGGACGCGCGTACACCGATCATTCAGTTGGGGACGTCATGAAATGCAGACTCATGGTAGGTGCATTATTTTTCATACCTGGGTGGAGCAATCCAATGCACCATGATAAGGACCAATCGGAAAATGATACGGCCATGAAGGCTATTATGAGGTGCATGGTAGCAAATGTTTTTGCGTATATATTGGCTGCAATAAAGTGTCGATATGAGTGGCCTGGAGTAGACAGAGCATGGACCATAATGCAGGAGCTTGCAGTGGGCAGCGGAGACCCGTCTAATCCAATTTCAAGAGGAACATGTACGCAAGATACGTATAAGGACATTAAAATAGGGACAGGTAACTTACAGGCAGCGGTAAAAAAATGGTTACAGCAAAGTACAAAGATACGTGATAGTATAAAACAAATAGAGAAGAACCCAAAGTGTAAAATGCATTGGGAAATGTACAAGAAAAATTTAGAGGCACGACGGGAAGATGCAGACCTTTCCAGTATATTTAAGAAGGCAACCATGCAAACGTTAGTGAAGGAACAGATAAAAGAGGTGCTTACGACAATTAGCAAAAAAGTACATAAGAAGGTGCAGAAGGCGCGCAACAGGCCAGAGGGCTCCACACACCTCGGGGATAGTGCCCTAGACTCTTCGGACGAGGAAGAGGAAGAGCAGAACAACGCAGAAAAGGACATGACGGAAACGAAAGGTAAGCATACGACTCCTAAGACTACGAGTACGAATAGTACGGCCGCTACCGATAAGCCTGCGGATGGATGCCGCCACAAACACAACGGCCACAACGCAGCACAGCGCTTCCCCTTCGCTGACGTTGAGCGATGAGCGGCGACGAGTGTAGACGAGGTGTGTGCGGTGGCGGCCACGACTGTAGCGGTAGCGGTAGCGGCGACGACGATTGTAGACGAGTGTATAGTGTATGGAATTTATGGATATAAGGGGATTATATGTGGATACTGTGCTCCACAATATTTGAGAGGCGGATAACGAAGAGGCGGTGTATATGTTGTTCGCGTGACACCTGCTGTCACTGTAGATGATGTCATAGCGGAGCATGGTGTTTCTACACTGGATACGGTCGTAACGAAGGATAGTGTTGTCGTGGAAATAATTATAACTTTTGAGACATTTCTAACGTTTATCACATACTTTTTAAGTTAGCAGAAAAATAAAACAACATTTTATACATTATGAAAGTACTTACTATTGCATATCGCGCTCATGGTCATCATTATATATTACATATGGGACACAAAATACTTATGCATTATACACATATAAAAGTGAAGTAGGACATACTCTTTTTTTTCTCTAAAGTTTGTTTGCTTTCTTTTAACACCCATGAACAACTCATTATATCAATAAACAGCACAACATACACACGAACAACTATGTATATTCGGAAAAGTGTACGAACAAAAATTATAATGTACAAAATGGAACTGCAACATGCACGTTACAAAACTGTGAATGCACTGTACCATACCAATAGTACCGAATATCATACAGAAAAATGTCTGTCTCATACATG